TTCTTTGAAATTCCATAATCTCATTACATATCTTCTCAAGATATTCCTTTTTGGCCCTGTCCGTGGCTCTTTTCAATTCATTCCTCAGTCTCCTGTATTTCCTCCTGCCTTCTTCATTGTTGACATTCTTCCATTTCCTTCGCTCCTCCATTTTACTCATCATCTCCTGTGTAACCCATGGTTTTCTTGCTATCTTCTCAACTTTACCAACCAAATCACTGATAGTATCTAACATGCATTCTTTTATATTGTTCCATTGCGCTTCAGCATTTCCGCTTTCACCTTCAGTTGCACAGAGTTTCTCTTCTAGGGTCTCTTGCACATTTCCACATATGTGTGGAAAAATGCCAGAACTCATGTTTCTGCCCAGTGCAGTTCAGTGCTTATATTCCATTTAAAGTTCATGTTATTGTTATCCAGTAGTTCATGAATAGAATACATTGGTTTTCCATGAGTAGTGTGCATTCTCAAAAATAAATTATTATTATTGTATGCTGCTCTATTTGGAACTCAAATTCTCACGTGGCTTTGTCTGTGTATGTTTGCTTCTGTATCTTATTCATGCTGTGTAATTAATATAGACTATCATTTTTGTATTTCGTTTTTTAATTATTTTTGTGTATTTCTCTACTCATGCTAGCTTTGTAATTGGCCTCTGTGCTGTTAAGTTTGCACATAAACAAACATGAATTGAATTGAATAATAAGAAGGTTTCATTTATAATTATCTTGCTTTTTTATTTTCTGTTGCAGTGTAGCAGTTATTTCGTCATACGATTGTAACTAATAATAATGAAAATAAATTATAGACTTACTCTAATAACTAATTCAGTATATTTTATAATATTGTAATCTAGGAAGAGGTTGTATAAGACAGGACTATCTGCAATGGATCCATTGTAACAAGCAGTCCAATAATGTATTTTGACAAATTTTAATATTTTAAATGCCTGATGATGGTCATATATGACCCAGACATGTAGCCTGTATTCTCAGTAAATAGATACTGATTTCATTGATAACTCGGGTCTTCACTTGTTTATTTATGTGAGTTTGTTGTGATAGACTAAAAATACACAGTAGAGTCTTGCACAACAAGATGCAAAACACACATATGATATGATTGTATGCTTAAAATCAGTTATAAATCATGAATTAAACATCTTGCAATGCTTATTTCTAAACATTAGATGTGTAATATTGAAGCCAGATGAATTTGTATTTTAGTCTTCAGGTTATGATACTATGTAGTCTAGTAAATGGTTATCAGCATTTCACATGAATGTCCTTCCTCCATCTTAAGGGCAGAAACATTGGTGCTCACCTGCCAGACTACACAGGGTCCTAACCCAGATGACATTTATGCAAATTTGAAACAGTGTGGTATAAGAAATATTAAAAAAAAACCTCACTTTATGCACTAAGTTTGAAGTAATGTGAATCCCAAAAAATTGGTTAAGACTCATGTTTCAAAACTTGTCCATGCATCATATGCAAGGTCTCCAGGAACGTATCTTCGCATAAAATGCGACTGCCCTCTACCCACCTCACCTGCTGGACCGCATACTGTCAACCCCAGAAGACTACAGTAACAGTCTTCACCAGCATGTAGTAAACCTCTGGTCTCAAATGGATTCTTTTGAAATATAATGTGGATTCACTGAATGTAATTATATAATGGCGCTTGAGGTGATAACTGCAGTGTGAGCCTGATTATCCATGCTAATGATCGGCAAATGATGCATGAATAATTGAAAATTACGAATAAGCGAAGATAGTTTATGGATATTCAGTAATGTCAGTGTCCACTTAGTTTTTTTTATAGCTTATGGAAAAAAATCTAGATTAGTTTTATTTTTAGGAAGAAAGCAGTCTTCCGGAATGTGGCGCCATGTAGATATTGTGTTAACTGACGTTTCGAATGAACATATTGCCTCCATTTTCAGGGTAGAAGGAAAAAAAGGAACACCGAAAGCGAGGAACTGGCACAAGCAAGTGCTCACAGAGTAATGCAAGGATACTATGGATCTGCTAGGATGACATTTCAATAATTATTCCTCTCTACTTATATTCCATGTAGCCCCCCCTTCTCTTCTTATACAGTTTGATGTGACATTACTCTGTGAGCACTTGCTCGCACCAGTTCCTCGCTTGCGGTGTTCCTTCTTTTTTCATCTTACCCTGAAGATGGAGGCGATATGTTCCTCCGAAACGTCGGTTAACACAATATCTACATGGCGCCACATCCAAGAAGATTGCTTTCTTCATAGTCACCACCTTGAAAATCTCAAATCTTACATACATTTTATTTTTGTTTGGAATTATATTCAGTGAAATAATATTTCTAAGTGTAAAGTAACTATGACTGCTGCATATAAAACGTTTGTATTACAGTTGTAAGTGTAATTATTAAACAGAGTGCCTTGTCAGGTAAAATAGATGGTATGGCTAAATACCTGTTTTATCTGTGCATTGTAATGGTTTCCTACCTTACAACCAGTCAAATGGAAAGTAGTTTTTCAGGACCACTTAGGCAGAACGATTAATTCCAGAACTTAGTCCCATGATACATTCCTTCCATAATTCCTGGAATGCGAGAGTTGTAGACCTTCCAAAGATTTTTATTCATTAGTGCTTATTTTTATTCTGCTTGAAATTTTGTGAACATTGTCATTTCTGAAGCTTTTAGAAATATCTAAGATGGATTTTATATCGTTTTAATGATGTTCTCTTATACAAAGTGGTCCATTTAAAACCATGCCCAAATAGAAAACATTGTTTTAAATCTCAGTGAAAATAAACTTAAAATGGGGGTTCACAAAATATAACGGAATTGTTCTGAATATGTGTCAAGAGATATGTAGCAATGCTAAAGCAGATTACTCTGGAGGACGAGGCACTTCTACGTGATCATGTTGATGTTCACACAGTAATGATGTGATCAGTTTTGTAGTGACTGCCTGATCATTCTCAAGTGCTCAAGTTGACCACTTCACTGAATTAGAAATTTGTGATGTAGGATGGTTACGTACTGTACATATAAATGTGGAAACTGCAAATGCTTATGACTTATACAGCAGTGTCTTGAGTAATGAATTTGAAGTATTTGTCTGTGAAGACAGACACTGCTACAGCACAGTCACTGAAGCAATCTCCCATGAGGACCCAAGAGTTCTCTTGTTGTTATGCAGCTGGAGGTACTAAGCATAGGAAACACATAAAATACTTATGATGATAGTGCGTGTATGGATATTCAAATCAATGTTGCCTGTTATTCTCTAAACACACTAAATTTTATGTCATAAAAATAAATAGGCTGGGAAGGTCCACTTTCACTAGGGAACACAGATCAACACAAGAGAGCGGCCACAATAAAAAGACAGGAAGAGCAGATGGTGAGTACTACTGACAAAGTGTGTTGCCAGAAGAGGGCCTGTGTGACCGAAACATGTAGCACATAAACACAGAATGTATAGTTTTATGGCATTTTAAACATTTTAACGAACATTTTAGTGAATTAAATGTTTATTAGTATCATCTAAATCTATACTGAGATTGTTGCATTATAGTTGGAAGATTACAAGTGATGCTGAAATCCTAAAAAGAATTGATATTTCTAATTTACAAAATCCAGTATTGATTGTGTATGCCATATTTCTGTTTTCATGGGTTGGAAGATAGATATAGAATAGACACACATCCATGTTCAAGCACATTATTGAGAAATATACAGGCATTCATTGGTAATATTTGATAGAAAATAAAGCAAAATTTTGCTCTTATTTAGTCATGACATGTATTCTACATGTAGGTAAAAAGGTAAAATGTTAATCTATCCCTGTAACAGGCCTTGGAGGTCCTTAGGGTTGAGAGATGTTGAGGCTCCCACATTTTTTGGACAGTCGCTTCCGGATGGCAATGATGCTTTATGTATGTACAGAATCCAAAATAATTATATACAGTTGATATTTTCATTAATACACTTACGCAACTGATGTATTCTTTGGTACAGTATCCAACATAAATTATATTTAAATGCAATAATAAAGAAGGCTGATAAAATTATCACATAAAATTGTTTTAAGTAATTCATCATTATCTAGAAGGATCAGTCTTTTTAGACTGTGCATATGATAGATACCTCACCCATTCTCTCCAGGTGGTGGAATCAGTTTGATATTCAGTTATTTCTTTCTAGGCTATTAGATATTTTTAGTTCTTGTATAAGTGTTCATTTCTGATATATGTTCTATAATGTGCAACAGGCCTCAGGAACATCATTTCAGCTGACTTTATTCAGGTGCCCTGTTGTTTTGTTAGGATCCAGCACTGATCAGCATGACAACATGTGTACAGCCATTAGTTTATAGAACTTTCATAGAGTATCTGATCTTAGTGTACCTTAATTGTGCCACATGTGATGTTATGACTGACTTAGGGAAACTGAATGAGCTGTTCTATTATCCTTCAACCCAGTGTTTGATTTAACTTAACATTCATCATGGTTCCCTGCTACAGGGGCACTGTGCCACATGTAAATCTGGGCCTGTTCGAGAAATTCTGTCATGAATATGCACCATCTTATATAAATATATTAAAGGTCTGTTCAGAATTGTCTGTTAGTGGATCACCACTGGAATATTTACTATGACCTGCACACATCAGACCATCCCAGCCAATTGTATTCTACAATACTGTCACATGTAGGATGGTATACACGACAAAAATGATGGGTTATAATTTGGATGATTGGATTTATTGGCACTTTGGTTACAAGCTCTCTTAATCACACTTAAATTACAGCACTATCAGTGATTTACACTTCATAATCCACTGTTACACACACTAGTCCTCTCCTGGCAATGCAATTAAAACACAGCCACAGGCGCTTGAAATCACTCCACACATTACACATGAATAAAGTCTCTCTAATCCCACATGAAGTCTTCACACAATGAACTTTCTGTGGCTATCTTGCAATGAGAACTCCCTCACTCTCACTTAAAAACTGAAACAAGTCCATGTCATATTGCGACTGACGGTCTGTCAGTCTGTCTTGGTGTCGAGCCCCAGCTGGGGCTGATGACGAGATTTTTTCCTTATTTTTCTTATAAGAAAGTTACTGTCTTGTTCATTTGGGGCACCCTCTCTGATGAGAGGTCAGGTCTGTCATTTGTCAGTCATAGTCTGTATTAGTAAGTCCATTGTCAGTAATTACATATATTTACAAATTTAATCTTAATACCTGTTTGTATGTACAATATATACAATGCCTCTGTCAATCCAGGCTCAGTACAGCAGATTATGCCCTATTTCTAGTAGTATTCACTACCACGGCAGTCTAGTCACTTGAACGGTCGTATGCCTGACCGCCACCAAGTTTAAGCCTCTTATACTTTCTATGTCAGGCTTAACCTTGACTAATAATGCGAACATACTCATTTTCATAATTTTATGTGACTTCTGCTTGTTTTCTACATAATTTTGTTATATAGTCATATACATATGGGATTTTAAATGCCATGTGCAAATCACGGACCGGTGCGCGCCTTGGAAAATTGCCAATGGCGCGAAGAACCTTGTTTTGCAGGCGCTGCAATTTCACTAGATGAGTGTCTGCTGCGAATTCCCAGGTGGGACTGGCATAAGTCAATATGGATCTAATAAGAGCTTTGTGGAGGGTCATTTTAATGTTAGCGCTCAATCGCTCTTTGAATAGGGAATATACTCGAATGAATGTTCTGAAGGCCTTGGCTTCAATCATTTCTATGTGCAATCTCCATGTAACTCTCTTATCGAAGATTACACCTAGATATTTTGCACTATTTACAAATGGAATATTTCGTCCATTTAGAGTGAGACAAGACTCAGGCGGTCGACAACTACAAGAGAAGTAGATCCCCTGAGTCTTATCTTCATTAATTTTTATATTTCAGCATTCACACCAGGTCTCCATTGAGCTGAGGCTGTGCTGGAGTTTTCTAAAAATAAAACCCTCCTTGTAATCTGTCGCATACAGAGAGGTGTCGTCCACAAAGAGGGCCATGTTAACACCATGTGTTTGGAGGGCATCATTTATGTACAAATTGAAAAGAGTAGGGGAAAGGACTGAACCTTGTGGCATCCCTCCTTGCATTTCCCTTGGGGTTGACATTTTGCTTTCAACCGAAAACCCTGGATTTATGTTGAGAAAGAAAGGACCCAATAAGTTTGGTCAAAAAAAAAAAAAAAAACTGNAACACTGAAATCTGTTCTGTCTCTATAGCCTCCGCACCGGCCACACAGAAAACAGCCTCCATTGTTGTAGAGAAGTGTTTACCACAATGTTGCATATCAGTGGTTGCGGCACCGACCACATAGAAAATGCCATACTTCTATCGCTGCCTGTGTGTTTTCGATCGTGAGGTTTTTAATTGTCAGTTACCTAGCAGAGCTAGTATTAGTATTAGTATTAGTGATTAGACATGGTTTGGATTGATTTCCTGCCTGCATTGTTTTGTCTGGAAGAGAATATAGTGAGTTTTAGATGGATTTATAAATAATTTGTCTCAAGAGTATTGCTCTACCACTCCTGTATTATTTGAAGTCGTGTTTTGGAGCTCATTCATATCTTGCCCTACATTCAGTCTTTATGTGTCATCAGCATACATTATTGATCTGCCGTGTGTTAGATATGGGATATCGTTTATATATAAGATGAAGAGTAATTGGCCAAGGACCGATCCCTGGGGAACTCCGTAACTCACTGGGAGGCTACTTGACAAATATTCTTTCATAAGATTGCCTTCTGCGTGTGTTACGTTTACGTGTTGAGTTCTATTTCTGAGATAGGAGTTGATTAGTTTATGAGGTATACCACGAACTGCATATTTGTATAATTTATCCATGAGAATGTTATGTTGAATAGAGTCAAAAGCTTATGATAAGTCTAATAGTACACAGTTGCATTTTATTTTATCATTCAAACTTTCTATTATGTTTTCAATAATTGTGGCAATTGCATCATTAGTAGATTTATTTTTCCTAAATCCGAATTGAGATTTATTAAGTATATTGTGTTTTTTTTTTCTAAAAATGTTCTTAACTGGTTAGCTATTACACAGGCCTACAAAAAAAAAATTTTTTTTGGTGTCTAGGATTTTAGAACTAATTTTAGTTATATTTAAGGCGCTGAATCTAAATATAAAATCAGTTTTTCTCTACCAGCTCTACTTTTTTAGATCAGCGTTTTTGTAACGTGCAGTTCTACACAAAATGTGCAGTTCTAATTGTATTTTGTGCAGTTCTAAATCTCATATGCAAGGATTGGTTCCTGTATATTTGCCCTATTGTCAGTCTGCTGTCCACTGAGTTCCCCCAAAATCCACTAGATGGCATTGTCTGTCCGGTGTGAAGTGAACTTGAACGCTTCCACTAGAGTTGAGGTTAGTTTATATGTTCTCGCCGTGCAGGGTACATCGAAGTTGGCCTCGGGTGATATTTGTTTATAAAAGTAAAAGAGTTGTTATAAATTTAACCTAAAACGTACTGTGTTGAAGATTGTTGTGTTTGTGTTCCTGAATTGAAATAAAATGAGTTCAAGAAGAAGAAGTTGTATAAATCAACCTGATGTGTTTTGTTACATATGTGGAGAATACACGTTAAAAGAAAACAGAAAAACTGTTAGTGACTTTGTAAAGAAAGCTTATTTTGTATACTTTGGTGTTAGGCTTGGTGATCAGGATAAAACCTGGGCACCGCATCAGGTCTGTAAAACTTGTACAGAACATTTACGACAGTGGACTACCGGGAAAAGAAAAAGTCTGAAATTCGGCGTACCGATGGTTTGGAGAGAACCCAAGAACCACTTCGATGACTGTTATTTCTGCCTAGTAAATATTACTGGAATCAATCGAAACAACCGTAGCAAGTGGACTTATCCTGATTTAGCCTCTGCAAGACGCCCAGTTCCTCACTCAGAGGAAGTACCGATCCCAACGTTTCACCAGCTACCAGAGCTCTGTGAGGATGAGTATTTTCCCTCTAATCACCCTTCTGATTGTAATGAAGGTGACAGTGATTATGAAGGGATGTCGTCAATCCCTCAACGTTTTAACCAGGATGAGTTAAATGACCTCATCAGAGATCTCAACCTGTCAAAAGAAGCTTCTGAATTACTGGCTTCTAGGTTGAACGACAAAAATTTACTGGAACAAGAAACCAAAATTTCCTTTTACCGCACAAGAGAAACGGATCTGCTACCCTTCTTCTCTCAAGATTACAATCTTGTATATTGTCACGAAATTAGAGGACTCTTGGAAAAAATGGCTCTTCCTGAATATTTTCCCGATGATTGGCGCCTATTTATTGACAGCTCAAAGCGAAGTTTGAAATGTGTCCTTCTACACAATGGAAACAAATATGGTTCAATACCAATTGCTCACTCCACGAAAATGAAAGAAGAATATAACACCATAGCTTTGGTCTTAGAGAAGATAAAGTATCATGAACATCAATGGGTGATTTGTGTGGACTTAAAAATGGTAAATTTTCTCCTTGGACAGCAAAGTGGTTACACCAAATATCCCTGCTTTTTGTGCCTCTGGGATAGCAGAGACAAAACACACCACTGGGTTAGAAAAGAATGGCCCAAGAGAGAAAACATGTACGTTGGGGAGAAGAATATCATTAACGATCCCTTAGTTAGACGAGAGAAAATCATCTTTCCTCCACTGCATATCAAGTTGGGCCTTATGAAGCAGTTTGTAAAGGCCCTTGATAAGAACGGATCATGCTTTGCATATATAGAAATGAAAATGCCTCAGTTGAGTACGGAAAAAATTGAAGCAGGAATATTTGACGGCCCACAAATAAGACAACTCATTAAGGATCCTGCCTTCGCAAATTCGATGAACGAGGCTGAGCGAAAAGCCTGGACTTCATTTGTTGCAGTTGTCGAAAATTTTCTGGGCAAACACAAAGCTGAAAACTATGTTGAACTGGTAAACGAGATGCTTAACAGTTTCAAATCCCTTGGCTGTAACATGAGCATTAAGGTGCACTATTTACACAGTCACTTAGATAGTTTTCCTGAAAATTTAGGAGACACCAGTGAGGAACAAGGTGAAAGATTTCACCAGGATATTAAAACTATGGAGGACCGCTACCAAGGAAGATGGGATACACACATGATGGCAGATTACTGCTGGAGTTTAAAAAGGGACTGTTCTAAAATACATTCAAGAAAGTCACGAAAAAGAAGCTTCCGTAGTGTTCCGTGACTATAGTTGGTTTGACTGTTATATATAGTCGATGATTTTTTCCTCTATCTTTGTATTTAATATAATAAAATAAAAATATAATTATAATATAGTAATAAAAATTCCATGTTGAGTTTTTTTATTTGATCCACTGATTTAACTTAAAATAGTGTAACGTATATTTCACCAAAATGTTATATCTTAAAAATTTGAGCTCCTAGGCAAAAACTAATGCCATATTTGAATTCAGGGCATCAAATTCATATGAAATCAGCTCCAAATACCCCGGCACCAAAACAGCTGTTGGCCTGTGTTATAGTTTCAAGAACTTTTGAAAGGGCAGGTACAAGAGTAATTGGACGATAGTTATTTGCATCTTTTGCATATACAAAACTATAATTTTGCCTGTGGTTCTGTATGGGTGTGAAACTTGGTCTCTGACATTAAGCTATCCCAGTGCTTTAGGGGTTAGTAAAGTAGGTTGGACTTGATAAGTGTCTCTTTCTTCTTCTCTGAGGGCCCCCCCCCCAATGGTTCCCCAATTCTAGTGTCTGTCTCTCACATTTTTCTGCATCTTAAGACAGGCCTTGCTCACAAATTAGTAATGCTACATCCTCATCCCAAATTCATCATGGTGTGCACCTCTACAGTGCCTTAATGGACAATTTCTGATGCCTTATGTGATAATTTGTAATCTTCAATTTGGTGAGCATGGCCACACCATATTAGTTGGTCTTTTATTATTCTTTCTAGTTAACCTTTTCTCTAACTACTTCATGCTAGAGTTTATCCTGAAATGTTTTCCGTGCAGATCTCTGAAACCCCATCTTTGTTTGGAATTACTTGGTGTTTGGACTTTGTCCCTCATCCAGTATTCTGAAAACTGTAGAGAACACACCATTTTGGGAACTGGATCCGTTTCCATCCTCAGGAGAGGGGGGTGTCCATTAGAAAGAGTTAATCACTGGACAACCTATGTCAAAGTCAGAATTGCATTATTACGGATAGTCAGCCCATCTTGATGTCAAGCCCCATTTTGGGCTCATGACCAGTTTTTAATTACTGTTGAACAGCTATGGTTTTGTCAATATGGAGCAACATCTCTTGAGAAGGGACAGGTCTTTCAGTGGTCGCAGTCATAGCAATATGAGTCATCTATATGCTTTCGACATAGTCCTTCAATTGTCAATATGTACTTGCTACTTACAGTTCTACAAGTACAGTGCATTTTGGAATATGTAATTTAAAAATCCAAATAAAGAACAGGGAAATATCAAATGTAAAAAGCACAAATTTTCTGGGGGTAGTAACAGATAGTACCTTGAGCTGGAAATTACATATTGAAGAAACCTGCAGTAGAATTAGCCGTAACCTGTTCATAATTAACAGGCTATCTAAAATACTCAATTTAAATTAAAAAAAAAGTATTACAGTTTGATCTATCCTCATCTATCTTAGGGAATAATTGTATGGGGACATAGTGCTAAGACCCTCACTAGAAGAATTTTTGTACTCCAAAAATGGGGAGTAAGATACATTGCAGGGCTAGAACATCTGGAATCATGCAGGGATAACTTTACAAAACTAAAGATACTAAAGTATACTCGCTATATATATATATATATATATATATAGCGAGTATACTTTAGTCTATGAATAGCTGATGTACTGTCTCGTACTCCCATTTTTCTCTAGTATGTGACGAATGCAAAAGATCTGACCTGTAGTCGATCTGTTGCGTCGAAACCACTGATGATCCCAAATAATTTCACCTATATATGGACTTAACCTTGAGAGAAGAATATTGGATAAAATTCTGTATGAAGTTGATAGCAGTGATATCCCTCGATAATTACTACAGTCAGTTTTATTACCCTTCTTGCAAGCTGGTACAATAACCACGCCTGATTACTTACACAGAAACCGTACGGCATATCCTTCTGTTAGCTTGGTACGCTTGGTATATGCTCCACGTACGTGGCGCCATCTGTCGGTATATTCACACAGTCCACACATAACAGGGGGTGTCGCCATATTTATATTTGTACAGGTGTGTTGGGGTCATTGTATATGTTAGAAAATAAATTTGTTTATGGTATGGGTAAAGGATCACCATGACGGTTGATTTCAGTGATTATTTTTGGGTAAGAGAATGAGGTTATTTTACTGAGCTTATAGTTACGAACACTAAAGTGAAGTTTTTGCGGGTTGCATTGAAATAAACTTACATATAGTGTGTGTTGTCGAAATTTTTTACACATTTAATTTTACCAGCTTAATGTGTTTTGGTCTGAATAGCCAGTATAATATTGTAGAATTGCCCGATACGCATGTTTGCGAAAATATATATATACTCAAGTTTGATTGTGGTTCTGATTGGGAATGATTAGTGGCTCCTGCAGGTACTGTCAAAATGTATTTCAAGCACTACTGATGAACCCATACTATTGGTAGTATTACAGTGATCAGGGAGTTTAGTACTTCATTTATTAAGTACATATAATATGAAGATGAAATTATTATGTCTGAATTATCATTTGTAAGTCGTTTGTGCATCCATGTTGAGGATTCTTTATGAACTTTTGTAAATGTATGAACATTTCACCAATTAATTCAGGACTCTTGGAAGGTTCGTTTGCAGAAGCATCTGACATAGACCTCTTGAGTATTCTGTTACGCATTGCAGAAAACACACTTGTAGATGCATTAAATAGGACAATAGAGTGATCAGTTATCTGGACATTATACATCATCATTTGTATTTGGAATGATGTTTTGGGGACCGAACTTTGTCTCTGACCTTAGGTAAGAAGCCTAGTGTATTGGGTCCAATTGGTAGAAATAGCACAGACCAGCTCTCTCAGATGGTAGTCGGTCTCAGCCTCTAGAGCAAGGGTCTCCAAACTACGGCCCGCGGGCCGCATCCGGCCCGCGATGTGATTTTATCCGGCCTGCGAAAGAATTGTGCAGAAATGTGCCAATTGAATTAATTTTCCAGTGAGTACTGGTAAAAAAAATACTTGTTCATAGATTTCAACTGATGTTTGTGATACCTCTCAACTATTAGTATTTTTTCGTGGCGTTGGCGATGAACTTAATGTCACACAGGAATTCGTGTCACTTCACAGCATGCATGGCACTACAACAGGAGATGATATCTTCAAAGAAATACAAAAAACACTAACAGAATATAATTTGGACTGGAACCATCTGCAGTGCGTGACAGTTGATGGAGGAAAAAACATGTCTGGTATAAAAATATGTTTGGTTGGCCAAATCACAAAAGCTTGTGAGGATGCAGGAATATCAATGCCAGTGTTTCTTCACTGTGTTATCCACCAACAAGCACGCTGTGCAAAACACGTCGATATGAGCTCTGTTTTAAAACCTGTTATTTCTAGCATTAATTTCATTCGCTGTCATGCACTTAACCATCGCCAGTTTTGATCTTTTCTCGAGAAATGTGATTCCGAGCTTATTGACCTGACATATGGTACTGCAGTTCGATGGCTTAGCTGTGGAAAGGTTCTTTTGCGCTTCTTTCAGCTCAGGAATGAAACTGATATATTTGTTACAAAGAAAAACCATCACGAACCACTTTTATCAGATACCGAGTGGCTTTGGAAATCAGCATTTTTGCTGATCTGGGGAACCATATAAACAATTTGAATTTAAAGTTGCAGGGTGAAAATAACTTAGTCTGTGATTTATTTGAACTTATCAAGGCATTCAGAGCAAAGTTGATACTTCTGGAAAGCCAAGTGAAAAATTGTAACTTTGTTCATATGCTTTACTGTGCAGAGTTGCATAAAAAGGGTGAAGCAGAATTTCCTTCCTCATTTGCAAATTTAGTCATTTCAGATTTGAAAGAACAATTTCGGAAGCGAGATGCTGATTTGGATGCCAGTGCTCAGGAAATTAGATTGTTTCAAAATCCATTTGACTGTGATGCTGCAGATGTCCCAAGTCAAATTCAAATGGAAATTATTGAACTTCAGGAAAATTAACATATATTAAAGACATATACAGGGAAAGAAATTTTATTGAATTTTATAAATTTCTGAACTCTGAGCAATTTCCAAATTTAAAGAAATTTGCTTCTAGATTTGTCTCCATTTTTGGGGTGACATATCTGTGTGAACAAACTTTTTCCCACATTAAGTACACCAAGTCGAAATACAAGGCAAACTTATCCGATGAACTTTTAAAGTCGCTACTTGTGATTTGCATTTCAAAATTTGAACCTCAATTTAATCAGATTTTAAGAATGCAAAAAGAGTTCCATTATTCACATTAATTGTTTTATTATAATTTGTGATGAAAATATGAGCATTTGCTGCTACTGTCTGTTGTCATTAATATACGATAATTTATTCTCACATACTTTGTATTTAGTTTATGAAATTCTGTGCTTTCAATAAAACTCATATACCTAGAGTTATTAATTTCTCATTTTATCCGGCCCGTT